CTGGAGAGACCCATTAATTATTGCCGTAGCCCATTCAGATGTTATAGGCCTGGCTGCTTTGATTAGCCAGGCCGGGCAAATTCTGACTTGTGGCAACCCTTTTCAGGGTTTTCCAGATAGAGAGCACAGAAGTGGTTTACCATTACCTTCTTCTGAAGGCACCCTGGGACCATGCAGCTTTCCCAAGGCTATACGGGAGCCACACCGGGGAATCAAACTCCCAATCTCTGGCTCCACATCAAGATACCTAAAACACTGACCTATCCACCCAGCTGAGGTCATCCCTCAAGCCATTCTTAAGTAACTTTCTGTTTCTTAAATAACTACTTTAGGGACTGGAAGGAAAGTGGCCTTTCCCCTCTCTGTGTCGTTTTCTCAGGTTACACACCCAAAGCTATGACCCAATGTTTGGCGCAACTTGGTATAAAAACCTCATGGCTCCAACTTCACGAAGTTCATTCACCTACCTCTGACAAGAGAAATAGTTGGTAAACCTCTAATATCAAGAGAAAACATATTATTGGCTTTAAATGACCATGAGGGTGTGAATGTTAAGATTTATCCTATATTAATACCTTACATAGTAATGTGAACGTCTCCAAAGTATGGGGGAAAAGACATTGGATTGACTATTAGGAATGCAGACTGGTAAAGATGTTGTTGTTATTGTTTTTTTAACCCTTAAACCCTATTTCAGCATCTATAAGAGAGCATTGCCTTAAAGTGGAACACCAATGGTATTACACTCCACTCAAACTGTTTATGGATGCCAAAAACAAAAATCCTTTGTGGGGTTGGAAGAAAGTCTTGGCACCATCATCAGTGGTGAGCCACGGCCCTCTGAGAAATGTTTGAACTTCTCCTTCCCCTAGAGAAATCTGGAAAAACAGTTTTCTCAGTGTATATGCCCTCAACAGGATGGAGAATTTTAAAAGTCACTTGTGCACACCTTTAGGATAAGTTTGATTTATATGGAGCCATAAGCCCCATTTATCATCCCGTATCAGATAAATGAGAAATACGTTGGTGTGAACGTTGCTGCTGCAATGTTCACCTGTGTCTCCACAGCGTACTCTGTTTAGTGACTAGCAAGTCAAGTGCTTACACCAAATCACTGGTAATTATTTATGACAACTTCGCAATACATTGTATCATACATTTACAGAATTCCTTTCCACTGCTTCACAGAATGGTGCAGAAAAAGAAACACAAATCATTCTCAGATAAGAAAGATTATTCCAGGGAAGTCATTTCTATCTTCAGTTGTGCATAGCTTGGACACTGAACTGCAACCCAGTTCTGCTATCCTACAGGCATGTGAGAAAAAGGGCAATTGTAGATCTTATAAAAGCAGGCTGTACAATTCACAAGGGTTCCCACATCTCCATTTCTCCACCTTGCTGATGTTTTCCCTCACAATGGACCCATCAACATGAACTAGGTATGTAAATTCTCACTTTTCTTGCAGGGCAAGGCCTAAGAAAGGGCAAAATTATTCTCCTCACCTTGCAAGAGGATGAGGTATTTTGTAGCACTTTTGGCAAGAAGCCACAAGAAAAATGAGAACGATGGCTTTGCTCAAATTAAGCCAGGTTGTGCAAATAATGCTGAATGCAAAATGACACTTCAGTACCAGTTTGGCAAACTGCAAAAATGACAATTGTTGCTGTGTTGCATGGACCTCTAAGGACAGGAAGAATCAGAGTCTTAACTTGACTCTTCCTTTTAAAAATGAACCAGTTATTTCTTTCTGCCTTCTTTCTGCACAGGAAAGTAGGGTGGGCCATAAGGCCTTCCCAGCTAGGCCTCATATCCAGATGAATCACATTTAGGTGTCTGAAGGGACGTGGTGGCGCTGTGGGCTAAACCGCAGAAGCCTGTGCTGCAGGGTCAGAAGACCAAGCAGTCATAAGATCGAATCCACCTGAACGTCCCATGCCTACTAGCTCCTGCTAAGAGAAGCATGAGCTAAGGTACAGATGACAAAATACCTCAAAGCTCAAAAAGAAAACAAGCCAAGCATCTTGCTCAACTGAAATGCAGTACCTAAAGATGGGCACAAACCGCAGGTCAGCGCGGTATGGCAGATTGGGCCCACAGGTGTTACATGGCCACACCAAATTCTCTGCCCTGCCTCTTCCCCCAGGCACCCATTCAAAAGAGAGGGCACGGCAGGGAAGCCTGGGGGTGGTGGTGCTGAGTAGGTGACCATGGGAGGAAACAGGGCAGGGAATTTGGGACACCTGTGCAACTCCTATGGGTCCAATCCACCAAATTGCAGCCAACGATGGTCCATGTCCATTTCTAACTGAAACCATAAACAGCATTATCTCTCATGCATTGTCCTTACCCATATCAGACATCTCTGGCACCGTAACTATGTAAGGTCCATCTGTAAACTTGGGTGCATTGTCATTGATGTCTTGCACTTTGATGATAAATTCTGATTCGGGCTCAAGTGGCTTGTTTGTCCGTCTGTCAATAGCCTGGGCGTGCAGAACATAGTGTGTCTTTTTTTCCCGGTCTAGACTTTTGGTTGAATGGATGTCGCCTGTTGTGTCATCAATAATAAAGATAGTCCCAGCCCCTTCACCCGTGAGGATGTATTTGACTGATCCATCGCCTTTGTCGGAATTGGAGTGCAGCTGTAAAACACAGATACATAACATTTAATATAATAATCTACAGTGATACTACATGGCCAGTGTCATGGCAGGAACTTTTATGCCATCAGAATTTATCTGAGGGGGGAATACAACCATTTGCCAGAATGAGCTCACCTCATGAGCCTTGGATAATTAAGCATTAATGAGTCAAACCATCAGAAATATAACAAAGTCAGCTTGTTCGTAATATTATAAAACTAATAATAATAATATTAATTCTTATCCTTAGATTGGGGCAAAGGGGTCATCAGGAGAATAAAAGAAGAAAGTAACATGGTATCATAGCATGTTTTAAGAGAGGGGGCAAAACACAGTCAAATTGGTCCCTGGATATGCTGAAACTGCCCACTCCAAGAAGAATAATTTTACATACATACATACATACATACATACATACATACATACATACATACATACATACATACATACATACATACATACATACATACATACATACATACATACATACATACATAGTATGAGTGAAGAGAATTACAAAGACCTATGCCACCAGAGTGGATAAAATTATTTCTACAATCAAACTGATTTACTACAAATCACAATTTAATTCACAATTTAAAATTTTAAAATTATTTTTATTAAAATCATTTAAAAATCCAATTGTTTTGAATTAAATCAAATCCACCCTACTTGAATTGATGGTAAAAGTTAAATGACAAGGCATTCCAGTATGAAATTCCAAATTACTGTATAAAGCACACTGCCTTTTGTATTGAAATGTTAATGTAAGGCACTAGCACACTGCCATCTGACACAGCTAAGGTACATACCAGGAAAATTCAGGGAACAGGCAACTTGCATATAATTCCCTGAGGACACTATTATCAGATTCCATGTCTTGAAAATGAGGCACTTAGCAGCATTAAGGTTGCACTATGTCATGGCACTTCACAATCTTTCATCCACATTAAAAAAAACCTTTCTCTTTATATGGTCTTCAATGACTTCAACCAACAGTCATTTCCCAAGCTCCTACTTTATCAAACTCATTAGCATGAGGCAGAACTTTGACTCCATGTCTGAAAGTTTCTAAAATATGGATACAAGATCATTGGGCAAAAAGCCATTTTATTGATTATGATAAAGCTGCAGTTGCAAGAAGTTATTTCCAGGCACAGTGAGCAACACTAGCAAAGATCTCTGAAGTTAATTAGGACCTCAGAATAATGGGAGGTGGCTCTTTGGTTTCTGTTATTCCATTGTTGTGTATAGAGGGGCAGAGGACCATTGCATTAGACCATTTAGCTCCTCCTAACCCAGCACTGTCTCTTGCAATAACAGTAGTCATTTTATAACTGGGGTAATTACATAGCTTCATTATTTATATGAATGTGCTTCATTTTACTTTTCCATTCCCTTGCACATCATTTTTTTATTTGAGAGTAAGCCAATATTTAAACAGTGAATACCCATGAGTGTTTCGGCAGAAGGCAATAAAAACAGTATATAAAAGCAGGAAAGGCAATAAAGAAAGGAACAAATAAATAGGCTTTTGTTCCGACTGCACTGACCACTTATTACTTATGAAGTTCTTAAGACGTATTCTCTTTCTGTTTGTGATCCTTACATGGCTATATTTTTATTGTTGGCACTTGAAATTGCTTGAAATTGCATGAGTGGTGTTTCCATGCTTTTTTTTTTTTAAACAGCAACCTTAAAACTCTTGTGTATGGTATACATACTAATATATGGCAAACTGGGGAAACTGCACCAACAGATTGCCACAAATTAAAGAGTCCCTGATTCACATGCAAAACCATCCTACTTGCATGCAATGAGGTTATAATTTAAGCAACAAGGAACTGAAGTGGGGATTCTTTAATTAGCAGCAATCTGTTGCTGCCATTTGTTATTACCCTTTCACTGATATTAACTTAAAAATTAAATGGTAATGCACCATCAATTGGATTCGGACTTACAGTGAAACATTCCAGGGCTTCCTAGGAAAAGAGTATAACATTCCATTCTTCTCGGTCCATGTAGGTTGTCTCTTTTTCTACAAGGCACTATGACTTGTAGAAAATCTATGGCTTGAAGAGCGGGATGAGCGCCGCCCCCTAGAGTCGGACACGACTGGACAAAAATTGTCAAGGGGAACCTTTACCTTTACTATGAAGAACAGAACTGTCAATCCCAGGTTTCAGGTGCTCAAGCTATTGAGTCAGCTGATGCAATTTATGCGATAGAACTTTGGCCATTTTTTTTAAAAAAATATACACATATAGAAATTGCACAGTCAGTAAACATAATGAAGGGTAATATTTGCTATCGGAACAGATAGGCTAGCAGTGTCTCCCAAAACTGGGCAGGAGGGAGTCTTCAGTGAACATACATCTGCTCCTTGATTTATCTACCACCTGGAAATCAAAGACTTTTCTGCAATTTTATAAATACATGGAAAGGCTAGCAGTGTCTCCCAAAAATGGGCAGGAGGGAGCCTTCAGTCAACATACAATTGCTCCTTGATTTATCTACCACCTGGAAATCAAAGACCTGGAGGGAGGATGGAAAGATTAAGAGGCTTTAAGATGCATTCTTGCTATCAGTAATATTAATATCCTAGAAAATTACAGAGAATTTATTCCTAAAGCAGGTCACAATGAAAACAACAAAGACATTGAAGGCGTAAAAAAAAAAAAAGGCAACTGAAATTACCAGGGAACTAGAGAAATCTCCACGAGGAAAAGTTTCAAAGACAGCAATGACAATGAAATTAAGAGGCTTTAAGATGCATTCTTGCTATCAGTAATATTAATATCCTAGAAAATTACAGAGAATTTATTCCTAAAGCAGGTCACAATGAAAACAACAAAGACATTGAAGGCGTAAAAAAAAAAAAAGGCAACTGAAATTACCAGGGAACTAGAGAAATCTCCACGAGGAAAAGTTTCAAAGACAGCAATGACAATGAACTTTCAAAAAGAAAGGAGAACACGGGGGGACTAGAGAAATCTCCATGAGGAAAAGTTTTAATGTTTAGTGCAACGAATCCAGAAGCAAGGAAAGTTTCAAAGACAGCAATGACAATGAACTTTCAAAAAGGAAGGAGAACACGGGGGGGGGGACCTCTCTCATTTTCTCATAATATTAGAGAACCTAAAGTTATCCCATGTAATTGCACTGTGGAAGATTCCGGCCAGACAATATGAAAGGCTTCTTTGTGCCATGCATAACATTACTACAGAATTTATTTCAAAAGGACATTCTGAATGGTCACCAACTTTTAAAGGCAATTAAATAAAATCATAGAAGATGAAGCTCTCTGTGGCTACTAGCTGGGGAAAGTTCGTCCCTTCACATCCAGCTTGTGGATCTCCTATATTTATCTGACTGACCAATGTGAGGAACTGGATACTTTGGTCTGATCAAGCAGGGCTTTGCCTTTGATCTGAGGTTCTTTCATAATGTTAGGCCAGCTATATAGGCTCCATGACTAGGAAGTTAATAATAAGAGGAAGCATATCAATCTCAGTTTCTGAGTCACTGACTAAAAGACATGAGGATTCAGAATATTTGTTTAAATTATTTCTGTGATACTGTACCTGTTTCTCAACTGGAAGACCCTGGGCAGCTCAAATATTATTTAAAAACCAGACCAGTTAAAAAGAGGAAGTCATTATGTTAAAAACAAAGTAAGGACATTGTAGCATTAAAATAATCATTTAAAAAGATTCAAAACACTTTACAAAGAGATTTAAACATACATGAAGTAATAATATGCAGCACTCCAAACTAAAACTCTTTATTGTCTAATTGACTGTTGAAAGCATGTTGTTCATTTACTGCCAGAAGGAAAAGACAGAGGGGCCCAATCCAGGCTCCCAGGGGAGGGCACCGTACAATCTGGGATCAGCCACGGAGAAGGCCCTCTCTCACGTATCCATCAGATGTGCCTGGAAATATGGTGGGATGGAGAGAAGACCTCTCCTGAAGTTCTTAAGGTTAATACAGTTCCTTCAGATAGTTATGTGTTCATGTCTCCTCTAACATCTTCTCCACCCATGATTCACCTACGGAAAGCCAATTGGATAAACTGCAAATATACAAAGGGTGAAACCAAAGTCTCACCCTTACTTTATCCTAAGACTGAGCAAGATTTCAGCCATTCTGTGCAAGTTGGGGGATAAACATCTCCTTCACATGTTGTAAAGCAGAATAAAACTGACTCCGGGAACTCCAAGCGAGAGAACACAGCAGATTTGCTGTTAAGAATTAGGGCTGCATTGTAAACAATTGCAGGCCCAATCTATATGATAAAAGTACAGCCCTTAAGGGAAAACTTGTAATAATCTTTTAAAAAAAAAAAAGGCAGAGGGAGAAAATACAGATTTGTAAAATATGATTATTTCCTATCTACAAACATTTTTTACACTTCAGTTGTAAAGCACCTGCTGAAACAAAGTGCCTGAGGCACATCTGTTCTTTCTTTCTAAACTTTGCTGCAACAAAATATTCTGAATTTTTTTCATTCCTGAACGTTAAAAGATATACTCTTAACCCTGAAAAAGGAAGGAGTTCTATATGGTATATCTTAAAAAACAAAAACAAAAAAAACAGCCTCCCCCCCCCCAAAGCCTTCTCTGAGTCCCAGGGTTTGTATTGTATGTTTTGTTTAGAGCAAAATAGGGGGATAAACGGTGTGAAGAGAGAGATTGCTATTAGTAAGTCCTTCCAGTACTTTTTTCTTAACTACATTTTACACAGAAATGACTTCACACACATTTTATAAAACCATTGATATTATAAGTTGGGCCAGATGGAACTCTCCTCAGCTAATAGCTTATATTTTTAGCTCAATGGGGGGTGGGCTGTTTTGAGTAGATTTTTTTTGCCACTAACTGGAAGGCTTTCTATATGGTCTTTTCTTTGCCATGCAGTCTCTGGTTAAATGCATTATCTTGAAGCAGTTCATGAATCTGAGGACCGGCAAAGACACCTCTGTTCATATGGTCTTTTCT